TTCAACTCGCACTATTGGTCAGACACTTCGTGCAGCTGGATTAAACAATTGTTTTGCTCGACGAAAGCCTTTAATCATACCAGCAAATGTTGAAGCACGTCTTGCATAGTGTTTGGAATACCAAAGTTAGACAAAGGAAGATTGGTCGAAGGTCATGTGGAGTGACGAATCTACCTTTTCACAATTCTAACAAAGCCGTTATAGCTGAGTTTGGCGTGAACCTCATGAAAAATGGAACATTTCTTGTGTTTCCACCACAGTTAAACACATTCCTAGCCGAATGTTTTGGGGTGCTTTGCAAGACAAGGCTTAAGACCGATTGTTCCATTATTTGGAATAGTCACCGGTACTACACATGTTATCATTCTTCGCAAGCGTGTCATATCAACTATGAGGTGTGCATTTCCAAACCATGATGGAATATTCCAAGAGGATAATGCTCGCCCTCACAAAACGAAACTTGCAAAGAAGTTTCATGCGGAAAATGGTCTGCACATACTTTCATGGCCCGCCCAAAGTCCAGATCTCAATCCTATTGAGAATCTATGGGCCAAAGTTAAGAAAAGCATTCGTGAATGGAAAAATTTGCCTTCCAACCTTGCTCAACTTGATCGGCATGTTATAAGGGCATGGAAACAAATTCCAATACAAACTATCGAAAATTTGGTCAATAGTATGCCGCAGCGAATTCGGGTTGTGATTGAAGCAAATGGAGGCCCGACAAAGTACTAATTATTTAGTACCAAATGTATAGCATATCATACTTTAATAAATATATTAATAATTTTTTTTAATAAAAATTAAAAATTTTAAGTTTTAAATTAAGCCAAAAATCGTGCGGAGACTTTTGGCGGGGGTCTGTAAATTCGTCTTATCACTAGAGCCTGGAGGGGATGAAAAAGATGCCGAAGTCTTAGGACTATACCGTATTCGGCGTATTGATTGGGTTAATATCATGTGATATCAAAGTTACGATAAATATTAATGTGGTTCGTGTAACTAAAAAAGAGAATAAAAATCAAAAGTTTAATGATTCGGCTCAAAAAGCAGCGAATAATTTTTATAACTTATTTATAAAAACGTTTTTAAAATATTTTTTTATTGGAAATTTCAACAGAATTGAATTTATCATAAGATCTCAATTAATAAAATAAGAAATGAATCAATATTGTAATTATTTTTATGATAAAAATACGTGAAATAATAATTAATATGGTTTATATCTTCTTGAACGATATCGATTATTGTATCTATCTGAACTAGATTGCTCTGATAATTCATGAGCTGCTTTAGTAGCATTAGGATTGAATTGAGAATGATATCTACCAGCAGGTTCAGAGTCGATTGCCATGCCAGGATTTAGAAGTTTCTGAACTCGCAAACGTTCTTTTTTCTCTCTCGCTAACCTTTCAGAACGTAACTTTTCTATTGATGACGGTGATGACGATTCTGAATTACTTTCTTTACCTCTATTCTAATAAAATGCACATAATATTAGTAAAAAGAATCGGTTTCGAAAACGAATTTTTATTTGTCCTTACATATGATCGATCGCGTTTCTCGCGCGTCACATCTTTACTTTTCTTTTTTGATTTCTTATCTAGTTTTGATTTCATTATTAATAATGGATCATAAATAGATACCGAACCCTCATCTTTAGATCTTTTGAAAAAGAATTTTTTTTTTTGTTAATTAATATAGAACCCTTATTGAAATATATATATATATAAATATAATTACCCATTTATTTGCTCTTCCTTGTATTGTTTTTCAAATTCACTTTCTACTCGCGTATACCATGGCCTTTGCTCTATTTACATAGATTATTAAAACAAAAATGTATAACATGGTAATAGAAAAAAGATAATTTTAAATTACCTTTGACCACATCTCCTAGATACATTGTAAATTGTTTCTCCCATTTTTTTTCTTTTGCTCTTTTTTCTGCTTCATATTCTGGGTTAGTTGATACAACTGCCAATGATTCCTATAAGTAAATATATTAATTTAATTTTCAAAATTGATAAAAAACAAAATTGATTCGTTACCTTTTCGAGATCAGCCCAAAAATTGATATGATTTTGAATCGGATCAGTATTCTGGTTAGATGTTTCTTCCGGTAGTTCATCTTTATTCTCTCCAGTCACAGCTTGACGTTGTTTTGCACGCTGTCGGAGAATTGTTAATCGATGTTCTCGCTCCTAAATTTAAATAATCTTAAGTATAATTATATAGATTTATCTTAGACAAAGAAATATTTATTTATATTGTGAACATACTGCAATGTTAGCTCTTTCTCCTTTTGCTTCTTCCTCTTGTTTTGCTTTTTCTTCATCCTTCCGTACACGTTCTTTGTTTTTAAGGTTGTATACGTGATAACTAAATAATCCCGAATTTATTAACGATTCTTGGAGTATGAACTCTGCATTAAGTAAATCTAACAAAGTACCTTTAAAATATACCTTTTATGTGGTAAAATGTTCATATTCAATTTTTAATACTTTATACAAATGGTTGCAATCACACTTTTATTTTTAGCCTAATAATAAACAATTGATTATATAATGAAGATCATACGACCAATTGAATGACGAAATTTGATTTTTAAAACGATTCTTGGTAGCAATATTTAATGTCTATTTCGCACGAAATAATGAATATCAAAGAACTAGAACGACGTAATAAAGAATTAAATGCTAAACTTGAGGAAGCTAAACAAGAATCCTCGAATTTTAGCTCAAGTCTTGTGCGGAAAATTCAACAATTAGAAAATGAATTATCACGAGTGAAACATATGAATCAAGTATTAACAGAAGAAAATGAAAAGATATTGAAACGCGAATTTATGTTGAATCCTATCATGCAGGTAAATAAATCGTATAATAACTATTTGATTGATTTGATTTTTAATCCTTATTTTTTCTTTTTTTTTTTACTTGTAGCGAAATGAATCATATACAGAAAAAAAACATACAGATACCGTTGAAAAAGTTACGAATGATTATGAGAGTTCTTACCCACATGATGATATCGTTAAAATTGAAAATTCGATTATAACAGACTTGTCTGTTGAGTTGGATCGTACTTTATTAAATACGTTTGAGCGTGTTCATAAAGAGAGTGACCATTCTATCATTGAAAGTATGTATTAATAATTAAATTATAATATATAAAATGAATTATTCTCATACTAAAATTTAATATCCTGATATATAGAATTGCAAGATAAAATTGAGTCACTTAATTACGATAATAAGTGTTTGAGACTTTATATCGAAAAGATTCTTAATCGTATTATGGAAGTTCAAGGTGCTGAAGAAATTTTATCTTCGGCACCAGAGTGTAAAAACCAATCAGTATCCAATCCTGTAACATCTACTACAGATTCATTTAGTTTCAATGATTACTTAACTCTGGAGAAAATTGAAAGACGTAGGTCTTGGTCTGGAAGTCAACCTCAAGATAATTTTACATCAAATGATAAAATAATGGTTGAAGAGCCTAGTCAGATCTATCCTATACCAAATAAAGGAGTATCCAATGAAGATACTATTACTCTTAGTGATGTGCCAAAACGTACACAACGTAGAAATTCAAATTCTGCATCAGGTGGTAAAATTGCGAAACGTTTTAGTATTTTTAATTGGGTTGGAGGTGCAACCAAAGTAGAAAGGAAGGATGATCCATTTATGAGACCTATTTTCCTCGTACAAGAAAATGAGAGGAAAAAATAATTTTATTAAAAGGCTTAGAAAATGTGTGTGCATTTTTACTTCAAAATGAGCATTACATCTTTTCTAAATTTTTATTACCTTTAATGCATCATTAATTAAGAGAGGTGTATAATAATGTACATTTAATACATTTAATTAAAGTAATTAATTATATAATAATTAAGATCTAGTAATTTAAGAAACAAATTTTAATTACGGTTTTTGCTTTAATTTTATGAATATTATATATAAATAATGTATCATACAATTTTAATATTTTTTTTATCATGTTAATTAAATATTATTGGATAGTCATTTTGTTAATTAAAGCCTTTTCATATTACATGTATTTTGAGTTGTTGTAAGAATTATATCAGCTCTAGGATTTGGATTTGTGTGAAAATGATTAGTTGAATAAGAAAAAGAAATAGCAACAAATTCGATTTCAGCAATGTTTCATTGAATTAGATCAATTTTGTATAAAGTAAAACTATGGTCTGGATTTCTGTTATAGAAAATCTGAAAGAATTCAAATATGATCTGATAAGTCAAAAAGTTAAATTATGCATTTATTCAGTAAAATTTAAATATAATTATCTTTATCTATAAGTTTAGAGGAAGGCATTCGTTGGTAATAAGCCTTGATAATTGTATATAAGTTGGACTCTGAAACCAAATGCTAACATCAGATAGATAACTATTATTCCTATCACACATAAATTATTAACGTTTACTTTCCAATTCAAATTATAGATCTCTGTTAAATTTGCTAATTGGTAATGAATTTTTTTCTTATGTCTCTCATCATATTTTATAAAATCAGAAAAATTAATAAATGACGTATTTTAAGTATAAGTTAAAATAAAACTTACTTTGATAAACAATTTTTTCTCAATTATCTCAGTGTTATATTTTATATGTAATGCTTCACATACTTTATTTTGCAATTCATACGCAAAAAAATTAATCTCTATACATCTTTTATTTGTTCTAGTACTAATGATTTTAATGTTACATCAAAATACTTAAAGATCTATTATATTGTAGTCTTTAGTTATACTTATTTATTTCATAATAGTTTAAACTCACTAAAAATATCTGATTAATTATAAAGTCTTATCTGATTTTCTAGGTCACTTTAATAGACATTTCTTTTGAGTTTTTTATTATGACATTCATTATGTTGATACTTTTTCAAAGGAAGAACAGCTTTCTTTATAATCAAAATTGTAGATATTTATGTTACATCATCTGATGATAGTATATGTAATGAAAAATTCTTTGGTTATGCAATAATTATATGTAATAGTTTTTAATAAATTTACCAAAATATTCTTTAGCAAAAAAATAAAGAAATATCAGTAGAAATAACTTACTTGTATTGAGCAGGCTTTTTAGAAACTATCAACTGATGCTTTTAGAGACAATTTATTATTATTAATTTGATCTCAATTCCCTTCTACCTCCACCTCTGAAATGATTCAACTCAATTGATTTCTTAAAGTTGTATAAAAAAATCATTGCTATCAAAAATGTTAGCATAAAAACAATTCAGAAGCTAATTATCCACTATTTCTATTTTTGTAAAGCACTTGAAGAGTGATATAAATTCTGCTAAAGAATTCATCCTAAGTGTATAGCTTAAGGATTAGTTAATAATAATGTTAGGAAACATAAACCTAATTTGGAATTTAATAATAAATCTGAAGATGTAATTTTCTATCATTATCTTTTCTAGCTCAAAAACTGATTTCTTGTGAAATAATCAGACAAACACTTAGTAGTGCTTGAGTACATACAGAACTCTAAAATTCTAAATCAAAGAGAATATTTTATGTGTGATTATTAAAATACTAAAGATCAGAATTAATGTTTTTTTTTTATCATAAACTACTTCAATTATATGGTATCAAAATACTTTTGAATATATTGATTCTAAAGGAGTGATTGGATTTACTAGGATAACAATAATTTTTATTATCTTGTATGTTTTTGGGATACTTATAAAATAAGAAAAACATAATTGATACAATTGGTTAGAATATAAATTTCTTCATATTTGTAGTTTTTATATTATTTACTATATATCTTTTTAGTAAATCCCCTTGTAATAGTTATTCAGTGAGTAACTGCTTTATTAGATATATTGTATTATATCATAATAAATACTTAGTAACAAATTATACTGACATAATCCTCAAATAGTGAATGCTTGATAATTAATTTTAACGAAAATTGTTATAAAGAATATAGTTATTAGTATCTTAAAAATTAATTTATTATAGTATCTCAAGAAATCCTTGATTATTATATTATTTTATATATATAATTAAACATTATATTTCTAAAAAAAAAAGATATATTTAATGGGGAATCTTAACCTAGACCACTATATCTAGGATAATATCCTAGACCCCCAAATTTGATTGGTTCATCATCATTAGCCACATTAGTTATTTACTTGTTTATTAAGGATGTTAATAGTTCGATCAGTTTAGTTTCGGTTCAATTTTTAGCGATCTGAGAGTAAAATCAAACCGTAGACTGGTTTATAGACCAGTTTGAATTGTAATTTAGACCAAAGTGTAAATCACTTGATATTAACAAACCAAATATCGCAATTATTTTATTTAACAAAAAAAAAAAACAAAAAAAACAAAATTACAAGATTTTATTGTCAAAAATTGATAAAAAAAAAATTAAATCTAAATCTATAAAATCTATAACAAAAAAAAATATATTTCATTGCTATAAATTTTTTAATTCCCTTTTTTTTCTGAAATCCAATTTTTCATACAAATAATTGCCCTTGCTGTTTCTGGATTTAACCTATTTTTGGTTTTTGAAATAGCTAAACCTGAAATCGAAAAGGCCCTTTCTGATGGAACTAGCGTTAATTGGATTGTTAAATAATCCTTAGCCATTTGTGATAATATCAGATAGTTTTTTTCATTACTTTTTCACTAATTTAAAGAATTATCATTACTATCTACCGGAAATTTAAATATCTATCTAATTCATCACATAACATTTCTTGATGATTACTTTGATTAAGTAAATTAAGAAAATAATCCCACAATGATAATTTTGGTTTTGATATTCTTTGATTTTTTAAGGGGGAATATATTGTAAATAATTTTTGTAAATTATTGATAATTTCAGTTAAATTATCATTGAATAAAGTGGTTTTGTAATGCAGATCTAATATTGAGGAAATTGTTGAAGTTTGATTTAAATGTTTATCCCAATATTTCTTTAATTTGGTATATATTGCTAAGGCTATTTCTTTTTGTGTATTATGATTTCCTCTTTGATATTGATCCAATTTTTTAAACATTCCTTTAAAAACCAATTGTATATCACCTTGTGTAGGATATGATGATGATAATAATAACTGTGTTGCCTCATACATAGGTTGTAAAACTAAGGATAATTCCTAAAAATTAATAATACAGTATTAATTATAGAAATAATTATTTATAATAGCAAAATAATAAATACATACCTTAATACGACTCCATTCATAAATTGTAGGAAAAATACTATCAAGTTCTTCAAAATTTGTTGTTACAAGCATATCTGAGACATTTTACATTAAAATTTGTCTAGAAATCATTAAGTATGTAGAATTCTAGCGAGTATCTATATCTAAAATTGGTTTTAGAAATTTAACTTTTTAATAGTACAAATTTCTAATAATTTATCCAATAATATTGGTGAATTTTTTAATTTAACAACAAATTGACAAAGCTTTTTAATTTCATTTTCTACATATTTCATTTCAGCTTTTACTGCCAAGTTGATAATATGAGCAGCATATCAAAAATGAGTAAAAGACATATTATTAAAATTTTGATCTAATTCTGCTGCTAATTGATTGCCACATACTATCATATTGCCTCCATTATCTGTTATTAATGCTAGAATTTTATGGCTAATATTAAATTTTTCAAGAATTTGAGAAAGGTTGTTTGTAATTAATTTTGCGGTATGAGATCTATTTATAGGAATTAAATCAAGTAAAAGATTTTTTAATTTCCAATTATTATTGATATAATGCATTATTATTCCAAGATAACAATCCTTTGGATCTGATGTCCATATATCTGTTGTGAGAGATATCTTTGAATTAATTTGTGAAATTTCATCTCTTAAATTACTTCTTCTTATATTATAATTTTTTATAAAATTGTCTTTCAAAGTTTGTCTACATGGTAAAATATAATGAGAATTCAAATTGTTGACAAACAATTTAAATTCAGGATTTTCAACAATAGAAAAAGGTTGTAAATTAGTTGCAACAGCATCAATCAAAGAATTTGTGATTGATTTAGATTGTGATGAGGAATAGGGTTTAAAGCGTATTTCTTTCAAAATAATTTGATAATTTTCAGGTTTTTTATAATGTAATGAATGTTTTTTAGTTAAATGATTTTGAAGTGTTGTTGTTGGATTGCCAGGGGAATAAAGTTTAGCACATAAAGTGCATTTATAATTTTTAATTAATCATTTTCCTTATCTAGAACTTTTAAAAAAAAATTCCACATGTCTGAATTATGAGTTTTTGTTGTATGAATTTCTTCTTCGGCTAAGGAAACTGAAGAAACATCTGAAATATTATCGTCATTTTCATAAGAAATATCACCAGACATATTTGCAATACAAATAATAATGCAAAATGAATGTAATTTTAGTTAAAATGATCAATGATCAACGCATTTTTTCAGTTACGCGCATTATCTATTTAAATTAGATTGATCATCTAAATCAGTCTAAAAATCAGTTCAATTTGACTCAGTTTCAGTTCGATCTTAACCCTATAACTGAACTGAAACCGGTTCTATGATCAGTCTATAGTCTGAACCGTTCAATCACAGACTTTAACATTCCTATCTATACTTAAAAATTGAGTTGATATATGATTAATTACTTTCATTATATTTGTTTCAGATTTAATAATGATTCCTATTTTCTAGTATAGTTTAGATCATAAATAGTTCTTTGCTTTGCTTTAGATTTGA